TTGTTGATAGCTTTTCTATAAACATCAAAAAAAAAAAATATATATGAAATGAGAATGAATCAAATATAAATTTGAATGTTCAGAACATTAATTTAAAATAGGGCTCAATACAACAGTAGAGCGATAATTCTTTATTATAATATATTACATTCGAGCATATGTAACTGGCAATTTTATCCATGTTCGCATATTAAATTAACTGTAAAAGTGCTCAACCTTATGAGGAGCAAATATCCAAATGAAATGAGAACAAATCAAATATAAATTCAAACATTCATAACATTAATTTAGAAATAAGGTTCAATACAACAGTGTGCATATATATATATATATATAGATATATATATGTTTTGAACAATAAAAAAATATTGAAAAATTTAAATTTTCAGACACACTGGGTTGTATATTAATATTGAAATAAAACAAGTTTTATTATTTCATTTAGGTTCCTTGACTAGTTTCAGCCAACATGACAATCATTAGGAGAGAAAAAAATGCCTGCTTGTTAGTATCAATAAACTACAGGAGTGAATGACTGTTTCTGAAGAAAATTAACTTTATCTGTAGTTTTCGTTTGTTTTTTTTTTTTACCATTAATTTTGGTCCTTGTGTTGGTCAAAGGGCCTTTTCCAAGTTGTTTTTACAATAGATGCTGGGAGATTCCAGAGTCTCAGAATTCCTCCTTGGTCATTTTAACAGTTTTATTAGTTGTTGGGAAGGGGATCTGTGTTAAATGTATGTTATCTTAGTTTTTTGTGGGGGTGTATGATGTAAATTTATATATTAGTATGAGTGTGTGTATAAGTGTGAGACCTCAACACCTATGCAAGCATGTCTGTCTTGTGTGGGTGAGAAATGTGGGTAGGGCTTGATATATATAAGTGTGTGTGTGTTATATAAAAAATTATTTTGTCTATATTAACATTTATTTTGCATATATTAACATATAAATGAGTGTGAATTCGGCAAAGTAGTTTTCTTAAAATCTCAGTAGTACAAGTGAAGATGACTTCCAGCTGTCCGTGTCTAATTTGAAGTTTGTCTGAGTAAAAGAGACTCATTTAAACCACAAAGTTTCATATCATGAAACTTTCAGAACAGAAACATGCTCAAGGACTACATTTGGCCTGATAGATTCAGATTTCTTTTTAAATTAAGCTAATATCCGTAAAGGATACTGTGTTAATTTGTATTCACTTGTGAATACTTTCAGTCCTGCTATTGCAGACAACTTAATAAATAATACAATTTGTACCAAGGTTTTCTCCTAGGATTTTTTTGGCATTATTAGCAAAGCTATTTCAGTTTACCGTCTAAGAATTCTTGAGACCATTTATATTAAATCTAAGCAGAAGAAATAGCTACTGGATCATGTAATATAATGTTTGGGATTTACACTGCGCCAATTTACAGGTAGTATTTTTTTATTTATTTTTATTTTTTTTTTACTTGCCTCTTTTTGAGTTATTCTGCATATATTTTTGTCTTCAACTGGCTCTAAAGAGTGAGGATCAATAACCAGGTAGCCCATGTTATATTTTTTCAATCCAGCACTTTACAGTATGTAATATCTTTTCTTATTGCTCTTCTGCCACTTTGTTTATATATATATATATATATATACTACTGTACTGATGCGGCATTCACCCTGGGCAGATTGAGCCGTTTCTTCCTGTTATGAGAAGAAGAGATTCTTGGGATAAATTACAGAAGTAGGGTACCCAGGCCTACTTAAATAACGTTTTGCTTGCCGCTGGGATTCCGTAGACGGTGGAGACAGGAAACGACCAGAAGCTGCAGTTGCCGATGCAGACGCCCTTGGATTTTCACCAGAGCCCCTTGTTACACACACATATGTGTCAGACCTGTCCACCTTGGGTGGCCCTACTGGAACGGTTCCGGGGCATAGCTCTGACACTACCGTTTACACCCCCCCATCTAAGTACTGACCTGGCTCTACGATGCTTAACTTTTGTGATCGAACGAGAACCGGTGTTTCAGCGTGATTTGACCGTGGATATATATATATATATATATATATATATATACACACACACACTTTTAAAATGACCATTTTAAAAGTTTTAATAAGATATTTTTTAAAGTTTTGTCCAGTATATTCAAGTTTCCTTGGTGTTCAACTTTCTGTCTATCAGTTCATGTTTTATCACCATTTGATATGGAAATTTAGAACACAAGAAGAGGTCTTGAGAAAACCATGGCTAAAAACCATTTAAAATGGCTGATTAGGATATGTCAACAGAAAGGAAAAAAATTCCTTTGAAAGTTCAGACATTGTCCTACAGTTTTTTGACATTTTTAATTTCTAATGTATCAAAAATTGAACAACTCAATTGTTCTGAATTATTAAAAAAAAAAAAAATAATGATAATCTTACCTCCACTGCAAATTGTTGCAGACCCCCAATGTTGATTGGGCCTTCTTCTGAGGCTTCCAGGTTACAGCTACCTACACAAAGGTCACTGGTAGGACATACCAT